TCATTCTCAAACTATAGCTGTTTTATATCTTCTGGCCCAGACATCTTAGAGCACCATGATTCGTCATAATTAAGTGTAACGATCTCTTAATCCAGGCATAAACCCCAATTACGCTTGTATTATATAGACTTAATGACAGATGCCTCGGGGTGGATAACTACCAGAAAGGCCTTGGAAGAGTGAAGCAGCGCGTCCTCAACTCTTTCAACATCAGCATCCCGCAGAACATGCTCAAGTTCTGGAAGAAAATACATGAGAATTACAAGCACCCCATCCATATGTTGCCTTAAGTCATGAGAATGTGACAAGTGATGGCTTCCTTCATGGTTACCATTGACGGATAGATCATACGTGTGTACTGGAGCTTGATTCAGCAGGCCGACGGCAGAGATATTGCCGTAATATCGCAACCTCTCAGGACCGTTCTGCACTCGTGATTTGATGTTATGGCCTTATTGATCCCATAACCACAAGCACCGCTCACGATGAGCAAATATGTACATAAATGTCACCTAGGAATCATAGGAAAAGGTGCCGATGTCCAAGTAAAATAAAGATTGCGGCCTTTCCGGCCATTAATGCGGTTGTTCCTATTGATAAATAATAAATCACAGGTACAGTGGAGGCAGAAGCTTTGAGATCTTGCAGGATCTCACTGGGATGTCATCTGAAATGTAAAAGAATAATGCTGTCAGAGCAGTAAATAACATCACTTTAGAGATAAACTCATAGATAGGAGTGTGGAGAAGCAGCAGAGTTGTGTGATTTTTGCCTGGGGCGAGCAATGTTTTATTGAAAGTGGGACCGACAGTGTTCTCTCTCGCTCCAGGATCACTCCGATCCCACCACACATCAAACACAGTGTTAGTAGACCATTAGGATTCAGAAAGAAACTATGATTGTGAAAGATAATTGTATGAACAAAGAACAAAAAATAAATATTTAGTGAAAATGAATTATGGAGAGTCTATATGTATTGAAGTCTGTTTTAGTCAAAAATAAAGAAGGAAATAAAGTAATGAGAAGCAAAAGTATTCTTAATATTACGAGAAATTAAATCACAATTAATGGATATAAAAGTGGAATTATGAAAAACAAAAATGTGAAACATTCTCAATTATGGCACAAAATAATTATGAGGTATAAAATCTGAATTATTAGAAGGTCAAAACAAGACCAAAATTGTGAGATATGTAGTTGCAATTATAAAAAATGAGCTTGAAATATATTTCATTTTTCTTTGTGCTGTGAGGTAGGTATTTTTTAGTCTGAACTGGAAACAGACTTCATTAGTGACTATCCTGTGCTATGATGTCTAAAGGAAGCAGACAGCAAAATATAATAAATAATGTAATATAAAATATTTCACAGGTCCATTTCAGAAAATAAATAATTAAATCTGGCACTGGTAAAATATCTCCTATAATAAAAGTGCAAATGAAAGAAATATTGGTAACACTTTACAATAATGTTCCAGTTGTAACATTAGTTAACCACATTAGTTTACAACAAACTAAATATGAAAAATACTTCTAAAGCATTTCTTAGGTAATGTTGATTCCAACATTTACTAATACATTATTAAAATAAAAAGTTGTATCTATTAATGTTATTTACTGGAACTGAGCTAACATGGACTAACAATGAACAGTTGTATTTGTATTAACAAAGATTAATAAATATTGTAACAAATGTATTGCTCATTGTTAGTTAATGCATTAAATATAGTAAACAAATGGAACTTTATTGTAAAGTGTTACCGAAATATTTACTATTTGAATGTTGCTTGAACTTTGAATGGCCGCCAATGAAAAAGATACCTTTTTGCACCAGACGATGTAATTACAATATCTACCAACAGGGGCAAACTAAACCATGCCAGCCAAACCTTGACCCCTCGGATTCTCTCACCAGTGAGTGCAGAACGAGCGAGGAGATGGAAAACCTGGAGTGGATCTCGACAGGTTACAGAACACTTTGAGTGAGGAGGGGAAATTACTGTCTCTTCACTCCACATACACTGGTAGAGAGTAAAGCCATGAGAGAAAGAAAGAGAGAGAGAGATAGTCCTGTTATTCCTAAATAACTATACACCATAACGAATGAATACTGAATCTCCTTGAGTTTCTCAGTAATTGGAAGCGAGTGATGTCGTGCTCTGCATATTTGCCAGAAGCATAACAGACTTTATTACGAACCATAAAAACACCATTAAAATTCACAACTCAGGGAGACGGGCCTAGCCCATGAGACAGATGAATTGCTACTGTTCATTGAAAGTGACCATATTCTTTCGCTCTTTCATCTTACGGGACTCTGGTTATTTTTACTGCAATATGGAATCAGTTACATACATCATATGGATTCATCTTCTCCACTGGCCACGAGGAGAACCAATTTGACAATAGATCTGTGTTTTTGTGAAAAGCAGACTGCCTCAGTATTCGAGGAAACAAAGAGTAAAACACAAAAAATGTCTTTCACATACTTGAAGTCAACATGAAACCGCTGTTTTTGCACTATTAAGTTCTAACATGTATTTCCATGATGTATTATGATGTATTTCCAAATAAAACTGAACACTCACAAGAAAAGCATGTAGATTGTATCCATTGGAATTGAACTGTATGGTGAAACGCGGGCTGACGCAGATTTTGCAGTCTATTGAGGGGCGTTACTCAACACCTGAAACACCACCATAATTTTTGGGAGATTTAAGTGGCATCAACCAAAGAAAAGATATTTCAGAAGTGGATTAACATGCACAAATGAATTGTGCACAATAAGACCAGCAATGCTTACTAAGTAGATTAATTTAGACTTTTTGACAATATGATTCAGCATATGCAAAGTATTTAACTTAAAGGTGGGGTAAGCGATTTTTCAAAAACGCTTTAGAAAACTGATTCGGGCGAGTAGCAAAACAACCTTGTAACCAATCAGCAGTAAGGGGCGTGTCTACTCATGATCTGGAGGAGAGAGTGTTCAGTGCACAGGACAGACATTAGCCGATAGAGATGGCGGATAAAAAACAAAAGAGGAAAACGTCTGCGGAAACAAAAGAAGGCTTAAGGCAAAAAGTAGGACCCGTGTAAATATCGGAACAGCTTTCCAGCGCTGGAGAGAACTCAAGGAGCGGAAGGCCTGTGATCGGACGCCGAGGTTGCTTTCTCGACAGGTGAGTAACACCGTGTCTGTGCCGCAACAGCTAAAGTCTGTCTAGTACACTGGACGCGACAAAGCGACCGTTGAAAATCATTTGAAATTTGTGTCAATACGTCATAAACAGAACGCAGCAGCAGTTTTCTGTCGGGGATTTGTCGTGTTGTGCCACGCTGCATCCAGTGTAGACATTACTGAAATAAATTAACTTTTCCACGACATTCTAATTTATTGAGATGCACCTGTATATCTATGGTGTAGACAGCATCACTGATTATAATGAGTTCTATAGTTTTTTGTCACGCCGCGCCACTCGTGTCCAGTGTAGACACAGTGTAACATTGGTTTTGCTTTGTTTCACTGAACTAATCGTTGCCTGGGTTGTGTACGTATGTGTGGGGCGGAGCTATCAAAATAGGGGCAAGACCCTTTTGGGGTAGGGGCGTGTTTGTTTTGGTGATTTCAAATGTCAACATTGGCTGCCAGAAATCACTTACCCCACCTTTAATTTTTTAGGCATGTCTGAGTTAAACTGAATATTTGGTGAGAAAAAAAATTATATTAAAGGACTATTCATCCTATTGGGATCTGATTGGATCATGCCAAAATTTGATTTTATTGGCTAATATAAATTTTCTTCACTTGTTCTGCCTTGAAACAAAAGTGTTTTTAATAAAGGAATATAAAAACAAAGATTTTTAGATTTACACTACCGTCAGTTAAGTGTTTTTTTAATCTTTTACTTTTAATCATCACTAAATTGATCAAAAGTGACAGTAAAGTGACTCTTATATTGTCATCTTCTTCAAATAAATCCTAATTTATTTTGAACTTTTTAAAGTCCAAAAATCCTGAAAAAAAGATCTTTCCACAAAATATTAGACAGCACAACTTTTTTCCACATTGATTAAAAAAAGATAAAATCTTGAGCAGCAAATCATCGTATTAGAATGATAACTTAAGGATCATGTGACACTGAAGACTGGAATATTGATGGTGAAAATTCAGCTTTACCATCACAGGAATAAATTACATTTTAAAATATATTCAAATAGAAAAGTCATTTTAAATTGCAATAATATTTCAGTTTTTCTGTATTTTTGATCAAATAAATGCAGCCTTTGGTGAGCATGAAAGACTTCTATCAACAGTGTTAAAAAATATTACTGACCACAAATTTAGAACGATAGTGTGATTGCACCAATGAATCATTTACAAATAACCCCGGATCATTTATTATGAAACTAAATAAGCCTTATGATTTCACATTGACTTTAAGCAGCAAATCAGTATGGCCCCCAATAGAGAGAGTCCCCAAAGCGTTATGTACATTTACATGGACACACCCTTTATTTCCTATCTAGGTCAACACTCCATCGCAAGTGTCAATTTACAGTCAAAATAAAGTATCGATAGAAATGATATATCCATTAGAGACAGACATTTAAAGCAGAGAGTAAAAGAGATGCCCCGGAGAGGTAGGGACAGATGACATCCACACATTGTTTGCTAATCTTTAAATTAGCCATGATTAGAGTTGACGGCATCAGTGCATTGCCATTCTCAAACAGAACTCAACAGCACACAATCCATATGGCCAAACCGCGTGAGGTCAAATCTACAGGATGCATCAGTCATCTGCTGCTTCTTAATACCTCCACAAAACAAGTCCTTTTACAGAGCGACTGAGCTCTGCTGTATAGTTAAGGGTCTGTGCACATCCTTGGCCTTTCATCGACGACATGTCCTTGCTCTGAAGATGCAGTTGGGGTCCTTCAACATCGTTCTTACGCAACAGCCTCGCCGCTCTTCGTGAGGAATTTCTGTAATCTTAGTCTGAAAGGTACGCGGACAGTCTCTGGCGGTTTAACTGGAAAGCGAGTGAAATGTTCTCCTAGCTAATGTATTTTGAGATCAAAACAAACAGTTTTTTATGTCAAGGTTTGAAAATGTTTTGTGTCCCCAGCTGTGAGACGATGGCGTCTGCTGGGACTCGATGACCTGCATGTAACTGTAGAGACGCTTGACTGACTGCAACCATGGCGCACGGATTCCATTTCCTATTTGAGGGTGACGTGGAGAGGGGCAGCTGATATCTTTAGCTCTGAAATGAGAGGATGGACACAAATGTGTGGGGGCTGATGGATGATTCCTGTTTGGCGTTGCTCCTGTGAATGTCAGCAAACCTGCGCACACACAAAGAGAAAACCATCGGCAGGGACATTAGGGAAATGCATTTTGTGGCTGATCAAAGGCAAGAAAAAACGACCTGCATTACCTTTTCCTGCCTCATCTTTTCATGTTTGTTGATCTTGTGGCTCTTTTGTTTGTGTTTACTTAGTGAATGATGATTTTTACATGACTGCATTCTGAAGAGCGGCTGCTTTGAAAGGCATATTCTTTTGAAAAATGTAAACGGCAGAGGGTGAATGCCTGTGTTCTTTAGCATGAAAGCCTTAGTAAAATGATTATTTAGTTTCAACGTGGCTGCGCTCATCTTGCGGCACCATTTTTTTTTTAAAGGGAAAATTATGCCACCCCTTGTCTGTCTGAGTGTTAATTCGCATTTAGAGAATTAAAATCACTTTTATGCACTTAGTAGATGCTTTTATCCAATGTAACTTACATTGAATTAATGCATTCAGTGTACTGTATACATTTGATCAATTCATGCATGGTCTGGGAATCATGACCCTGGTGTTGCAAGTGACATGTTTCAGCTAAAGAAATGTTCCAGTTTAGGGAAGAACAAAAAAAAATCACTCTAAAAATGTATACATTTTGTATGATTTCACTAGCTATAGAAAACATATTTGTTAAAAATCACGAAAACATTTTAAACGTGGGCTGTGCACGCCGCAGAGAGCTCAGAGTTCCTTGAACAATTAAAGTATTATTTTTAAGTCACCTAAACATCATTATATAGGACAGAACAGGTTGTCAAGATGAAGTCAGGCTTTCAGTGTTTAGTGTCCCAACTGTGTATTTATCTCCACTAAACTAATGGCGCTTTTCCACTGCATGGTACGGCACGGTACGGCTCGGTACGGTTCACTTTTGGGGGGTTTTCCACTGGGTGCAGTACCTGGTACTTTTTTTAGAACCACTTCGGTTGGGGTTCCAAGTGAACCGTACCGTTACCAAAACGTGACGTGTAAACACTGCTGATCACGGATTGGCCGGAGAGAATCGTCACTACCTGTGTCACTGAACTTGCGACACAAACACAAAAGAACCACTAGATTTAAATCAGCACAGCCAGCGAAGGATCGAACACAACTGTTTTGAACGAGCACACCTTTTTTTTTTAAACAACCAATACTGTTGCGGAAGAACAGACGTTCCTCTCGTTGATAGCAGATGAGCGGATCCAGCAAGAGCTTGATGGGGCGACGCGGAATGAAAAAAGTTTTTTTTAGGAGCCGTGGTAGTAGAGGCGGCGCAACTATAACGACATGTGAATAATCCCGCCCATTCTAAAGTGGTACTGAACTGCAGTGGAAATGCAAACCGTGCCGAGCCGTACCGAGGCGAGTCGTACCACGCAGTGGAAAAGCGCCATAAGTATTTAGTCAGTTATCAAAATACAGTGACATTAGCCATCTTAATAGGTGAATTGAAAACAATTATGCAATTATCTAATTTTTTTTTACACCAGTAAATTTGGGAACCCTTGAATTAGAGAAAAAAAATTAATATCTGTTCAATGCTGTTTAACGAACAATCTCCAGAATTGATCATTCATAAAGAACTCACAATTGGGATTTGTAAATCAGACATTCCCCAAATTACTTGAATCAATTTGTAATGCATGTCAATGTAATCAGAACACAATTTCGTACATTCCAGTTCCTCTCTAAGTAAATAACTGTTGCTCCCTCTTTGCTGTTTCTCCATCTCTCCGTGATTGCCTGCGATACACACAGCGTTCTCTTGAGGGTGTAGGACGCAACATGCTGGAAATGTTGATAACACTGCCATGAACCAGAACTGCCATAAAGAATTTCATTTCCTAGAACCACCGTGGAGCCACAAAGCCTACAATGCTCCCCAGATGTCTTACACAACAGCTTCCCTCTGAGATGTTCCTCAAGTGCTCACTTTGGACCCTTTTATAATGGAGTTTTCAATAAAAAGTCTTCCCTTATGACTAGCTTTTTAATAAAGTGCTTTTCAAAGAAATAAAGGCATGTGCAACTCAAATGTAGCTCTGGCTGTTGGAATAACACTGGCGTGAAAAGGCATGGTTTCCCACAGGACACATTTTTTTAATACATAAAAAATGGTGTTGGTGGTGCTTTTAGAACAATATTCAGCATATTATTTTGCCATGTAATGAAAAGAATGGAAAGCTTTCACTCAGAAACTGACAGGTGCTAATTGCCTCAAGGATTAACATACATTTATGCAAATTTCTGTCCTCATATTATCCTCCTGCACTGCAAAACTACAGTTTTTCCCAAGCCATGTACACTCACTGGGAATCGCTCAAAGCATGACGGAAAGACAAACAACAGCTGGCATGTAAATATATCTTGCTAAATAGAACTGTATCTCTTTCTTTGCTAACATCGTGCCATCTGCAATCACTACTGAGGCAGAACACGAGGGATTTTGGGTTTCAGCTCACGTCCCGCAACATCATCTTCTCCCTTCATCTCTCGATCCGCGGCACAACCAGCGCCCCCAGCTGCCCTCTAATCCAGCTTTAGCCCTTCCGCTGATCAGGTGCGTCACTCTTAACACAACTTCATCAGCGCCGGCGGGGCACAATTGGTTGTATAAATGATAAGATTTCCACTCGATTTCTGCTCTGCCATATTCCACCTCTGTACCTGTGCTCTGTATCTGTGATGTTGCTTTAAAACCAACGCTGTGATAGCACTCTTGTTGCTCGCCGTGTTTTGTCGCCGTTCTGCTTCGGACCTGCTTGCTGGACGATCACCGTCTTTGCATATTAGATTTAGAGACAATAATGGCTTACTAAGAAAAAGAAAACAGAGCAAGATAAGATATAATCTTACTGAAGCACCACTCACCTCCTCACAGCAATCTGAAGTCCTTTAGGATGGCTCCTTGGGCAGAGGCTTTAAAAAAAAAAGAAAGGAAATAGTGGTCAGTTATTTCATTAGATCTATGTTATTATCATTTATGCATTTAGCAGACGCTTTTATCCAAAGCGACTTACAGTGCATTCAGGCTATACATTTTTTACCAGTATGTGTGTTCCCTGGGAATCGAACCCATGACCTTTTGCGCTGCTAACGCAATGCTCTACCACTGAGCCACAAGAACATTATTATATATAATTACTATAATTAATTTTTAATTACTAATTAATTACTATAATTAATATTTCCTCTGAATTTACAGTCGTGCAAAATATTTCAAATGGCGGAGAAGCGCCACATAAAAAGCATCATTCTATAACATAACCGTTTATTAAATAATTTGAAATAGATTCAACCATAAACTATAATTACATTTTGCACTTTTTTTTTTAATTGCTTGAATTTGTCAATAACCTGAAACAGCTTGTCTCCATCTAGTATACCACTTTTACTATTACAGTTTTTTTTCTCAAACATTTTGTTTCTTTGGTTATGCAACAGTGCAGTCTAACATATGTGCAAAAATAAAACAAAATAAGTAATTCATCATTTAAGTTTAATACAATTAATTAACAATAATTTATGGAAAACACTAAACTAAAACTAAGAGACTCTGGAAAAATATTCCCAAGGTCAAAATTCAGAGTAAAGAGGCTGTTCAAATGTGACATTTGTGATTTTCTCTCCATTTTGAAAAAGGTATATGGTTAATTTAAACATATAATTTGTTAATTTTTTATTATTATTTTTTATTAATTTATTATGCTATTGTGAGTGATCAATAGTATGTGTTTTTAGATTATAGGAAAGATAGGTTTATTTCTATAGCACATTTCATACAGTGGTAATTTGAAGTGCTTTGAAGAAAACAATAAAGATTATTAAAGAAATATAAATATAAAAAAGTAAGCAGTAGAAATGGGAAAAAAGAGAACAAATTAGTTCAAATGAAATAAGATTATACATTAAAATGAATATGAGGAAAAACAAAGTATCAAATAAATAAAAAGACAATTTGATTAAAAACCTATCATAAAATAAAATAAAAAATAAAAACCAAGTTGTCCTTTATGATTAGCAGCAATGTCTTCAATGTTAATAAATTAATCAACATAATTAATAAATTTAGCTTTCTGAAGTTTTGTAAGTCAGAATATCAACATTTGAGTATGACCCACAAAAGACCTGCACAAACAAACAAACAAACAAATAAATACTAGTTCCTACTGAAAAATATGGTTAAGTTAGTAGTGCATCTGTTTTAGCTAGTCACTGCCCAGCACTGCTTGATTGTCTGCAACACTATCAACTCTGCTAACGTTGCTAATTCAGGTCCTCTGCTGTCTGGTTTATACTCTCAAAGCACCTCAAATTAGCCAGCCCTGTATTCTGCACTTCACAGGGCTTTTTTTAAGTCTTTTCTCTCAGATCAAGTTGAAGAAACTTCCAACTTTCCACTTGCTCGTTCAATGTTTATAAAAACCTCTTAACCCCTCAAGACTTTAAATCCTTCATTGGCAAGCTCGTGGTTCTTGGATCTGCTACACACTCATTGGCATGCAGAAGGCTCTCTAAGTGTTGGCACCCGTGCTGATTGGCTCGTCACCGAATCATTCACAATGGTGTTGACAGTGCCCGTGATTCTATGGGTAGAGCCGCTTTTTCCAGTGCCCGCCCGCCCCGTATGCCTCTCTGCCCTGGAAGTCTGGCGCTATCTGTGAAACCCTTCACGCAGTGCATCTGATCTGTTGCACCTCTCCACAAACATGTCATCTAAATGCTAAGCACTCATGCTGCATTGTTAAATGAAAACAACAAGAACAGCGAAAGCAAACAAGACAATCCTGCAACTAGCTGCAAGCTTTTTGATTTCATTTTTTCCAATTTCTCTTCTTCAAGATCCTAGACATATTCTTCTTTCTCCTGGAGATGTGAGGGGAATTCTGAGAGTGTTATCACGTAAGCTCAGTATGCACTACTGTACATGGTTTTTACCACATTTTTGCATTCAGAGACAAACGTCGGGAATTATCTTTGATTCCTTGGAGTGACATGATCGGCAGTGGGTTAATTGCTTTGGCGATGAATCTCAGCCTCAGTTTGAGCCACAGTCCTCCAGTGTCTAATGAAGAACTAAGAAGTGCAGTTGCTAGAATTAGCAAGTCCACATGATATGCAAGATAAATACATTGTTCATTAGGTTCCCTACGGGGCATTACGATCATACTAAAAAGATATGGCCTTTTTTACATTTATTATTTTTAATGTATTTGTTTATAAAATAATACTTCTATAATTTATTGTTTCTTTTATGTATTTGTCAGTTAATTTAGTTTATTGGTCTGCGTTGGTTGTTTTTCCTCTTTATAATATTGTTCTGAAGCTTAAATAAATGATAAAGAAAGAAATTACATTGGTTTGTCCACAAAATCCCTTTTTTGGCCAGCCACATTAGACAAATGCTAATTTGGCTCTATGGCTGATACAATAGAGTGCAACAGTGCCTGTCCACTTTTTCAGCAGCCTTGAGAGGAAGCTGGAAGAAAGTATTTTTCCCATTAATTTTTCCCATTGAGTCTTCTTTTGAAATTTATAAGCCATGAACCAAACCAACCAGCTATGAGGTGAAATCACAACATTACAAATTTTGATTTGAAACAAAAAATATTTGTAAAGATTGTGAACTTAATGGTTTAATGAGTGAAAGAACTACAAACCCATGCAGCATTGTGAATGACAATCAGATGAAAACAATGGATAAATACAAAACTATTGATTTAAAGATGATTATGTATACAGAACCAATATATTTTGAGTCTATTGTTCAAAGTAGGTCTGTCTTCAAAGGTTTATAAATTATCTTTCACAATCAATTCCACTATAGAGAAAATAAATTGAATTTTTACTTATGAAACAACTGTTGCACTCTCTTGATGATGTAAAATGCCTTGTCAGTGCTGTCAGTTGTGAACATAATCTGATCTCATATCGTACTATCTGACAATTAATGCGACAAACATCAAGTACAGAAAACAAAATCACACCATGTTATGCATACTGGTGTAGGGGTGGCTTGCTTCTAACAGAAAAATCACTAAGAGGAGCAACCATGACCGCACCGACCCGCTTCTCACGATTGAGTTTCTCTAGTGCTTTATGCCCGACTTGATATTGATTTGGTGACACCAACTCTGAGGCAAAACTGCTGAGGCAGCCATTGTAGGAGGCACTATTAACTGTTCATGCTAATTAATGGGCTAAAAAGGTGAAAGCGGTCTCCTGTGGTAAAGTAGGAAGGAGGCAGAATGAGAGTGAGTGAGAGAGCGAGGAAGAGGGACGTGGAATGAAGGAGCCATTTCTTGTGTCTGCAAACAATCGTCTGAAACAGCTCATCTGTTAGCACGTTACCACAGGGGATTGTGTGCCGCCACAGTACTGTGAATGTCGTAGGGCATTAGTCTGCAAGAGGAAGATGAAGAGTATGTAAACTTGCCTGCTAGCAGAGAGGCCCAGATTACAAATGTGTACTTTGCTAATTGAACAGATTAGCTATCATTAGCGCAAATGATGCTACTGCTCCAGGTGTTAGCGTCACAGGAGGTAAAAAATTCTTAACGGAAACAATATTATTAACTGCAACACTGTTTACTCTCTGAAAGAGTAAATACAGCTCTGTCATCTTTTACAAACTGCCCCATACCATAGGGTGACCATATAACTTACGTTACGTTTCATGATTTCAATTAATTAAACACGCTCTTTGATTACTGAAATATCATTTAATCATTAAAAACGTCCAGGAAATGTAAATGAGCAACAACAACAACAACAGAAAAACAGAATAAAAAATAAGAATAAAAATGGAACTTGGTTAAAATAAAAGGATTTCACAGGCTATTCTCTACAGTGTAAGATGTGGATGAAGGGTTTTCCTGGAGTATGATGAGCAGTACTCACAGAGTTGGCCTGTTTGCGAGCAGATAACCTGCTTAATAATTATGCTCACCTGAATATAAGGCGTTTTTCACTTCCAGCAGTCATGAACAATAATATATAGACTATAAGTGATTAAATACAAGATTAATAGTAGTTATAATTATTGGTAAAATGTGCTTGGAAAAAAATATAATCAGAATATCAACTTTCATAATAATTATGCATGCACTGTATTTTTCCTCTTCTGCTGTCGAGGTAATGCAAGAAATGTTGTGATTGGTTGTCAAGGCAGCCAATCAGAATTTAGCAGCCTCGGTCTCTGATTGGCTGGAATTATGGCACATTGTAACGCTGGGTTGTGTTGAGCACGCGAGCTGTTGGCATTTAGCGAGCACTGAGGGGGGCATCAGGTGAGCAAGCTAGTGAAACGTTGCACCCGCAAAAGAGGTCTGCACATATCCAAAAACTTATTTTATATGCAAAATTGATTTCCGTGCGCTCGAAATACTTTTTTCTTTGCGAAACGAACATTTTCTCCACAAAACTCAGATTGCGCGCGTGCAAAATGCACTTTTGTGCGCTCAAAATATGATCTTTCGCACGCAGAATTGTGGCAGAAATGTAAGCCCATAAGGACGTGTCCTGGGAAAATGGCACGTATGGTCACCCTACCATACCATCCTCACGAAAAAAATACTCCGTACACACTAGCGATGGAACAAGTTAACTGACATGACAAGGCCTGTTTCACACATTCTGTTGTGCATATTCCTTTCGGACCCCATAATAAGAGGCTACAGCCAGTTAAAATTAATATTATTCAATTAAAACTTTTATTGTTAAATTAATGTTTTATTAAGCAGTAAATCAGTATATTGGAATGATTTCTGAAGGATCATGTGACACTGAGGACACTATTTTTGTTCATACAATGAATGTCAACAGGGTCCAAACAACACCTCACAGACTTTCAAAAACATTTTTCAATATATATTTCTACATGTCGCGCAGGTCTGAAAATGACATGTAGGTGAGTAAATGATGACAGAATTTCCATTTTAGGTTGAATTAGCGCACTAAAAAAAATTATAAAATTACATAAAGATCAGATTAGCATTGTATAATGTAAAATGTTAATGTTGGTTGACGCATAAGTTTCTATTTGCATGATTAGATAATTCATTAGGTGCATGAACTAACAATGAGCAGCATTTTAATTTCATTCACTGTCTTTATTAATCTAGGAGTTAATGTTAATTCACAGATATACTATTGTGCATGCACTGTTGATTAATGCAGTTTGCCATGTGAAAGCACAATGTTAGGCACTGCAATTCAATTTCTCTGCAGTTCTACTGTACACATGCTCCTCAGACATACAGTGGGTACGGAAAGTATTCAGACCCCCTTAAATTTTTCACTCTTTGTTATATTGCAGCCATTTGCTAAAATAATTTAAGTTCATTTTTTTTCCTCATTAATGTACACACAGCACACCATATTGACAGAAAAACACAGAATTGTTGACATTTTTGCAGATTTATTAAAAAAGAAAAACTGAAATATCACATGGTCCTAAGTATTCAGACCCTTTGCTCAGTATTTAGTAGAAGCACCCTTTTGATCTAATACAGCCATGAGTCTTATTGGGAAAGATGCAACAAGTTTTTCACACCTGGACTTGGGGATCCTCTGCCATTCCTCCTTGCAGAGCCTCTCCAGTTCTGGCAGGTTGGATGGTAAACGTTGATGGACAGCCATTTTTAGGTCTCTCCAGAAATGCACAATTGGGTTTAAGTTAGGGCTCTGGCTGGGCCATTCAAGAACAGTCACAGAGTTGTTGTGAAGCCACTCCTTCGTTATTTTAGCTGTGTGCTTAGGGTCATTGTCTTGTTGGAAGGTAAACCTTCAGCCCAGTCTGAGGTCCTAAGCACTCTGGAGAAGGTTTTCGTCCAGAATATCCCTGTACTTGGCCCCATTCATCTTTCCCTCGATTGCAACCAGTCATCCTGTCCCTGCAGCTGAAAACACCCCCACAGCATGATGCTGCCACCACCATGCTTCACTGTTGGGACTGTATTGGACAGGTGATGAGCAGTGCCTGGTTTTCTCCACACATACCGCTTAGAATTAAGGCCAAAAAGTTCTATCTTGGCCTCATCCGACCAGAGAATCTTATTTCTCACCATCTCACAACTCCATGCGGGCTTTCATGTGTCTTGCACTGAGGAGAGGCTTCCATCGGGCCACTCTGCCATAAAGCCCCGACTGGTGGAGGGCTGCAGTGATGGTTGACTTTCTACAACTTTCCCCCATCTCCCGACTGCATCTCTGGAGCTCAGCCACAGTGATCTTTGGGTTCTTCTTTACCTCTCTCACCAAGGCTCTTCCCCCCCGATAGCTCAGTTTGGCCGGACAGCCAGCTCTAGGAAGGGTTCTGGTCATCCCAAACGTCTTCCATTTAAGGAATGGAGGCCACTGTGCTCTTGGGAACCTTAAGTGCAGCAGAAATTTTTTTGTAACCTTGGCCAGATCTGTGCCTTGCCACAATTCTGTCTCTGAGCTCTTCAGGCAGTTCCTTTGACCTCATGATTCTCATTTGCTCTGACATGCACTGTGAGCTGTAAGGTCTTATATAGACAGGTGTGTGGCTTTCCTAATCAAGTCCAATCAGTATAATCAAACACAGCTGGACTCAAATGAAGGTGTAGAACCATCTCAAGGATGATCAGAAGAAATGGACAGCACCTGAGTTAAATATATGAGTGTCACAGCAAAGGGTCTGAATACTTAGGACCATGTGATATTTCAGTTTTTCTTTTTTAATAAATCTGCAAAAATGTCCACAATTCTGTGTTTTTCTGTCAATGTGGGGTGCTGTGTGTATTTTTATGAGTGTGAAACAGGTCTAAGGAAGGCATTTGGAAGAGTGCGGCCGTTCAACCTCATGCCGTTTAGGCAGGGATTAGTGATTTTGTAACCATGTGAGACGTGCATTAACACACTCACGTTAGTCTCCATTTCCACGGTAACAGCAGGCACGAATTAAAAGCGTGCTGTGTGAAACAGGTCTAAGGAAGGCATTTGGAAGAGTGCGGCCGTTCAACCTCATGCCGTTTAGGCAGGGATTAGTGATTTTGTAACCATGTGAGACGTGCATTAACACACTCAGGTTAGTCTCCATTTCCACGGTAACAGCAGGCACGAATTAAAAGCGATATGCGGGAGGTGGCGAGGGCCGTTCCTCCGACTGGCCTCGGCTGGATTTTGAATTTAAGGATTGATTAGTCTCCTCCAATAGCTGCGAGAGGAGCAATTAAAACAATTATAAATCACTGGCAAACTGCAGGGACTAACCTGATAGCGTATATTGATGGAGTAGCCTTTGAAAATGACTGCTAAATGCAAGTCAGTGAATAGTTAGGAGACATTTCTCAGGCTTTATCAAGCATCACAATGAAATGAATTTCAAAAAGAAGCAGATTCCCTGGTGTGATATGCGCTTTTCAAGCCGCCTGTGGGAGTCCAGGTCACAATGGAGTGAGAATGATTCTCTGGCTTTCCTCTGTTTATTTCTTTTGTTCTCTGCTCGATGAAGGGCTCAAACAACAAAGACAGTTAATAGAATGTATAAAGAAATTAATAAATTAACAGATTCATATACATGTATGAACTATAAAGAAGCTTTATGCATTTTTGCATACGTTCATCTCTTGGTATTCGAATTCTTTGAAATATCACAGTCTCAATCACTACAAATGCATTATTGAAAGCACCTCTTCTGGAAGATGTTTCAAATCAATTTTTCATCCTGTTGGTTATCCTGCAGTAGAATAGAGTAGTCTCTACTCACGGTATGCTAATATGTCTTCCAAAAAAAATCAAAAACGGTAGCGGGGGCCTCAAAGAAGAAAGACAATATGAGACATCCTCTGATCACGGCCTGATAGACCCGCAGCAAACATCTCCAAATATTCCTCAGAGAAACGTGAAGTGCTGCATGTGGGATGCAAAAATGATAGTTCAAAGAAACCCTGGCAATTCTTCAGATGGAAAATGGCCTAAACGTGGTCTAAGTGACGGGGCAGCTGGCTGAGAGGGGTTTCTAACGGGAAAGAGAGGAGGCCAAAAACATAAAAGAATCATTTCAAGAGGGAGAGGGGGCGGAGGAGGAGAGCTATATGAAATCAAGAAACGATGCGTGCTAAGAAAACTCAAAGAACAGAACGTGTGTTTAATTCACTCAAACCTTCTGTCGACCAGCTAAACGAACAGAAACGGGACATTTAGATGTGCGCTCATTCTCTTTGCTCGGAAATAAATGAAAACATTTCGATATTGATTAGAAGCAGCTTTGATAAGGCAATTACTCGTAACGATCTCTTGAGCAACAAATACATAATTTAAACGCATGGATGTGTTCAGGGCTTTTCAATTAAACCTGTGTTTTGACATCGCAGATATATGGTTTTTGCCCTTAAAAATAACATTTGTATAATTTATTTGACTTAATGAGTAACTTGACAAGAATTTAAATATCTGTAGAAAGTGACAATGAAAATAGTTAGGGCTAATATGTGACATTCAATGCATTTTATCAATAACAATCAAAATACATTGCATTACCAACACTGCCAGATTTTCCATGTGTTGTATATAAACAAGTGGAACAAATCTGCCAATGCAGTAAGAGAAAGTTATATTAAAAATACAAACAAGTCTAAATATCCTTATTGTCACGAATCCGGTCCTTGGCCTTCCGGCCGATTGCCACTAGAGGTCATTCTACCATTACATTGACTCTCACACTACACAGACTGTTACATGTCACTCCGGACTACAGTTCCCATCATCCATTGCACTTACACAGCTGAATTCACTGATCACACAGCCTTCACTAATCACACGCTCACCTGAGAGCCATTACTCACTCTATTTAACACCCACTAAGTTCCTGTTCAGATCGCCGAGTATTGTTCAGCATTTTCCACTCCCCTAGTGTTAGCTGCATTACCGAGCCTAGTGTCTTGTTTTCCTTGTTTTCTTCGTCTTGCCTTGTCTGTTTCCCCGTGTTCTGATCACTGCCTGTGTACCTGGATTATCTCTCGAGTCTCGCCCTATTGGATACTGTTTGCCCCAGCCTGAACCTTTGCCTTGTACCTGGATTATCCCTCTTGCCTTGCCATCAATATACCTGTTTGCCATTGTCTGACCTAAGCCTGTTTTTGACCACGTCTCTTGCAAATAAAGCCTTGCAGATGGATCTGCACGCTTCCTGTGTTTCTATCCGTTACACTTATGCAGTATTGCTTCCCAAGTATCCTGTTTTAGGCATTTATTAAAGCAACAGTTCACAGAAAAATTTTAATTCTGTCATAATTACTCACCCTTGTCGTTCTAAATCTGTATGACTTACTTTCTTCTGTGGAGCACAAACGAAGATATTTTGAGAAATTTCTCAGTGATGAGAATTGGAAATCAATGGTAACCAAAAGCGGTTACAAACATTCTTCAAAATGTCTTCTTTTTTGTTCCACAGAAGAAAATATGTACTACAGGTTTGGAACAACATGAGGGAACTATTGCTTTATTTTTCCTGGAAAACTAGACAAAAACATCTTACTGTATTTAGAAGGTTCATGTTTCAAACGTCTTACTATAAATATTTGTGAATTTCAATTTTAGTATCTCGGAAGAGAGATGATTCAAATAGCAACTGAACTTTTCTTAATGCTTACTTCAAAACCCTGCATAAAACGACTTCTTTTTTCCCCCCAATCATACAATGGATTCTCTTTATAAAATGAGGTAGAAAATATAGCTTTCTATATACGATGCTAAAGGCTAAAGCATTTCTAATTTAAAACACCCTTTGTTCTTGTAAAAATGCCTGAGACTGCATAAAGAACACTAACAATCGTCATCATTTTAAGACTTAAGGAGATTTAATTCCCAAGAATTGTACAGCTACATCATCTCAAGCAAGTACCGCAATGCTTAAAATAAAAAAAAATAATGAAATGAAAAAAATATGGCCTCTCATCAGTTTGGTTTGTAAAACTCTTTTTTTGTGACTTTCAGAAGTGCTGTTTGAGGTTTGTTGACAAAGAATCATGAGTAATAAGCTTTTCATAGATGTATGGTTCGATAGGATAGAACAATATTTGGTCGAGATACAACTATTTAAAAATCTGGAATCTGAGGGTGCAAAAAAATCAAAATACTAAGAAAATCGCCTTTAAAGTTGTCCAAATGAAGTTCTTAGCAATGCATATTTACTAATCAAAAATTATGTTTTTATATATTTACTGTAGGAAATTTACAAAATACCTTCATGGAACATGATCTTAATATCCTAATGATTTTTGGTATAAAAGAAAAATCGATCATTTTGACCCATACATTGCTTTTTGGCTATTGCTAAAAATATACCCAAGCAACTCAAGACTGGTTTTGTGGTCCAGGGTCACATATAATTATATCATAAGAATCAAATAAAACTGCATCCACGCTAGGCTTTACAAAATCACAGCCTGCAATAGCAGATAACAAGTTAGATAGATTTCCAAGCATCACTCCGCTGAGAGTAAGGGTGTTTTCTTTTTTGCTAACACCTTTCCACTTCAATTACAAAAAACATCCCATGCTAGCACTCAACTAATGTATTTCTCTCAATTATGAATAAAGTCACACACCGCTGTGCCACACATGCCCCTCTGAGGACCCACAGAGCTGAATTTGGATGCTCTCCTCCCCACGGATGAGGCGAAGCAGAATCAAATCAGGCGACCCGCTGTGCCACGCTCTCCGCTCCATAAATGTATTCAATAAAAATAAGAGGGGAGAGGTTGAAAAGGGTACAGATTCTCAAAGGATTGCCAATTCTCCAGTGTGTCAGATATTTAGTGGCCTCTAACAGTGCAGGCATGAGCAAATGGAGGCGGACGTGAGTGGAAAGCGAGCAGGCGGAGCGGGGGAGACGGCTCGTGGATGAGACGCCGTATTTGCTCTGACCCTGTCGCGGCAGATCTCACCGAGACGGCCCCTTCCCTAAATACAACGGCTGGCTGAAAACAATCGCCTCATTCCTCCGCACCGCTCCGTCACTCTTTCCCTCCCTCTGTACATCTCATTCATCCTTTCTCTCAGTAATGATGACTGTGCAGTGACAGAGCAATGCTATTACCCAGAAGAAACCGAGGGGAGGTAGAGATTCAGACAGAGAAAGACACGCTGTCAAAAAGGAAAAATCAGACAGAGACGCTTGCGCAGGTTTACGTTTGGAGGGGAATTCAGTTTCTTTTTGGTGTTTGACTAAAATATACTGTATTTGTTTCAATATAATTCTATAGCTTATAATAATACAAATTGCTTCAAAGCAGCATTACAGAAACTAGAAAAATAAAGAAGATAAAAGGACAGGAAAATAATGCCTCCGTGAACAAGCCCTAAGGCAACAGCAGCAAGGAAAAACTCCCTCGAATGAGCAGCTGAAAAACTGCAATGTGAAATTATCTGGATTTTGCAGATATGACCATTTTAAGAAACCAAGTGATTTTTTACTTATCAGGGTTGTGCTACATTGAAAACAGAACTGGGAATGTCTTTTAAATTCCAGTAAAATTATTGAATTTGAATTTAATTTGAATTGAGAAACCAAACAGAATGCAGAATTGCAATTAAAATAGAAACTTAAGTAGATTAAAATGAACTGAAATGTAAAGAAATTCATAACATGTTGGATTAAAAAAAAGCATTGTTTGAAGTAAAAGTTAAAAAAAGCCTTAAGTTTGAAGGTTTAAAGTAGGGATCGGCGTATCGATCCTCAAGTATCAATATACCAATACTGATGTGAGTATCGAAAGTATCGATACTGAAATAAAAAATATCGATACTAAGATGTGTTTTTCTGTGTGTTTTCCCACTGATTTTATTTAACAAAAAATAATGCGTATAATATGTATTGAATTGGACGAATAACCTGTGTTAGTGAATAATTGTGTAGGATAGAACTAGTTTCCTGCTCATCTGAACACATGCAAATTCTGCAAGACAGAACCAATCAATCACAGAGAGTGTTCACTCACTTCTGACAGTGCATGCATTTCCCAAAAGTATCATAAGAAACCACTGATGTTTTTGGGAACGGCAGAACAATGTTTATCAGAGGACAGAAAAAAAAACATATATGCTTGAGTTATTTCACAATAAACAAATTGAAAATGTAGCCTACAGTTTGTGCAATTACATTTATTTAAACTGAACGCTAAAAGTTCATATTGATCATGTTCTATTCTATAATGTTAATATAAATCATAGCTGTCAGAATAAAAAGGTTGCATTTTATGCATGCAACAGATTGTCACTGGCAGTCCCTTCTGAAAATGAACCATGGTGGTTTTACTAAAGTGACATAGTTCAACTATAGTATTTGTAGATGTCCATGGTTACCACTACAGTAAACATATTTTAACTATGTGTAAACAAAAATATAACCTAGTAAGTTGCAGTTAAGGTGTATTGAATGTTAAAATGCATTTCAAATATAAAGTTAAGTGGGTATCATTATCCATTTTACTCTTAGTAATTTAAGAATTTAATACATTTCATAATTTAAAAGTTCAGTTTAGAAGTATTGTATCGGTATCGATAGACAATACTAGCCTTTAAAAGTATCGGTATCGTATCGAAAACGAAATAAGTGTATCACCCATCCCTAGTTTAAAGGCCTTACAGACAGACAGAAGGATCGATAGAAGGATAGATAGAACAATAAAATAATAGAATGATAGATAGATAAATGAAGTACCACATATATAATTTTTTTATTTACTGTAGTTTATATATTTAATATGTAATTAATACATGCATTTTTTATTTAATAATTTTAAACATATTAAATAATATTTGATGCATTTAATAAATTAGTTGTTTATTACTTGTGTTGAATTTCTTTGAATTGCAATCATTGTAAAATTTAACTTCCTTTTTTAAATTTAACTTCCTGTGGTGTCAATTCAAATCAGAATTGAACTAGCTAT